TCAGTGAGTTGTTTCTTAACCGTCAAACAATGTAGACGTGTTTTCTTTCGTGTCTGAAACGACTCCCCAGTGGAGGGAGAACGAGCCACACTGGGTAGAGAGAACGTGTCGACATAAACGTTAATAAAATAGCTAAGTCAAAATTCTCTGTTGTTGAAATCTGAACTCAAAACAACCAGATCGCTGCGAAAGAAGATTGCAACTTTATTATCAAATTGATACCATCGCCCAAGACCTCCCCATAACCAGGAGGCTATACAACATTGAGTTCAAATTCCCAGCTTGTCTGTCGTGTTCACCTTCGCACAAATGGGCTTTGGAAAGTTAGGAATCCATCTATTCTCCTTTCAACTATGTGTTAAATAGTAGTCACTTTTTAGCACTAGAAGAACAATACGGAATTCGAAAATGTGGAGATTGCAACAGGAAACCGCACTACTTTGCCAAGAAATCCTGGTAATTCTCAAAAAAAAAAGATATATTGTAAGTGGTGAAGCATTTATTTAATTAAGTAGATGACCAGTGATTTTTAAATGTTCTTTTTTTTTTGCTTTCTATGACATTTTCAAGATTCTAGGGGTGAACGAGTATATATTATAGATAGGTAATAAAACAAGGACAAAGGAAAGGGTACCAATATAATCAGTACGATAAACATTTATTAAATATTAACTATATGACAGAAATGAAGCACAGAGAGAAAGGTTTTAAATATCCAGATTCCTCAATCCGTGCCGCTATCCATTACTCCACCGTGCCTGTATTTCTATGTATATATATATATATATATATATATATATATATATATATATATATATATATATACGGGTCAATGGTGCATTGTGGGTAGTCTATTATTGCGGTTATTTTACGGGAAGTCGTTTATTTATTTATTTGGGTTAAATTAGTTTGCTTGTTTTTATTTATTTTTATTTTTTGTTTCTTATCTTATTTATTTATTTATTTATTTTTTTTTAAAAATTTTTTTTTTTTTTTCTAATCGGTGTATTTTTAGTAACGTAGTAAAAATTTGTTTATATCACTTATTTAATAGTTTTGTTTTGGCTTGAGAATTTAATCAAAGCTATTTGTTCGGTTCTGGGGTTGGTTGTTGTAGTTTATTCTATCTATGTATGTATATAAAAAGAAAGAACAGTAAGATATATAATCCGGTGTTCTTATAGATATTTTTACTTTTACGAAATAGGGCTCAATGTAAATTTACAGAGCATTAATATTATAAATTAATTGATTTAAAATATGGTTTTTCCGCTACACAGTTCTAACCATGGAAGCTAAAAGCCTCGAATTTAATTTTGTAATTAAAGACATTAGTTCCATTTCATCCTCAAGCGAATTTTTACTGGGTTTTTTTTTTAAACCCAGTAAAAATAATATTTAAAACCCAGTAAAAACCCAGTAAAAATATTATTTCACGTTTCCAAGGATACAGAGAAATTTATTCATCTAGACAAGGGGTGTTTGCGTGTTCATTGTCGCTGTATTTTGATGTATCAGTTATTAGTTACGTTTTGGTAGGGGTAAGGATGTATTTTTCAATGAATTCTGACATATATATATGATGGACTCTCCCGTCATTTTCGACATATGAGTGTCTTTCAGTTCAGTTTTTATGTTTCGTATGAGACAACAATCCTGCACAGGATTTGCAAACAAATCCACACGATGGAAATGCTGAAGGGTTGACCATCATATGGGCAGATGTATTAGCCCGAGATTTAGTGTTAATTCTTAATTCTCTCAGATGGTTGAGACGATTATTTTCAAAGTTAGTTATACATCGGTAGCAGGTGTTTCTCCAGTTTGCTCGGTTTTCAACAGCAACTTCGAACTCCTCTATAGGGATGTTTGCAGCATTTAAGTTGTATTTCAGTTTGTCCTTGAAGCGAAACAAGGACGGCCTACATTACGCTTACCATAAAAAAGTTGGCAATATATGAGGATTTTCGACATCTGAATATCACTCATTCTCATGACATGACCAGCCCATCTGAACTGTGATTGCATCAGAAAGGATTCAATACCACCGACGCCATATTTGATATTATATATATATATATATATATATATATATATATATATATATATATATATATATATATATATGTATGTATGAGTGTGTGTGTGTGTGTGTTTTAGGACTTCATCAGACTAAAATTATTATGTTGGTGCGACTACACATGCGCACAAACAAGGGATGCTCGGAATTTTTTTTTTTATATATAATCTGGACGATTTCATTTAGATTCTTGTTCTTTTATTGCCATCAATTTTCTTACTAGATATCCCACACTGTGATGATAGAAGATCTGCCAGGCATGGTGAGATATTGAAAGAGCCAGGTCGCAAATCTACTGTGGGTGATCTAGCGATCAAGACACTCTGTAAACATTTTCGTCCTAGTGAATTGTTTATTCTGATCAGTGTAGCATTTTATGACAAAATTGTGGTCAGTCTCATTACGGTGATCAACAAATGCATTTTACAAAAAAACAATACATCAAACGCATTAGTTGCTCACCGTAACAAGACTGACCACAATTTTGATATAAAATGTCCGATGATGTCCTAAAGGACGAAAAGCGTCATACGAAAAAATTACACATTGTCATACATTATACATACATACATATATATATATATATATATATATATATATATATATATATATATATATATATATATATATATATTAAAATAAGAGAGAAACTGCTAACTTTTTTGGTTATAATGTGGATTTGTTTTAATGTATATATTATACTTTATTCTTCATGTTTTGGCTACACGGGTTTCCGGTCTCGTGACCTTCTCCAGGCAAATAAAAGGAATCAATTTTTAAAAGAATACATTTTACTTATGCTCTTTTAATACTTCATTGTTCATTTTCTGTATTTGATCTAATTTTTGGACTGTTGGCAAAAGTGAATTTCTGCCTAAGTGATAATAAAATAATTAGGTTTGGTCTAGGTGGTAATGTAGGGATAGGAAAACGTCTCTCATCAGCACATCTATCATCAACTTTGAACTGAAAACCTGTGGAGCCCCAGCATCAAACCCAAAGGAGTGGCGTAAGACATGTTTCATTAAGTTAAAGAGTTTGGAAGACAGTAGTTTGAAGCACCTTGATCAGCTTCATCAATCTCTGAAGCAGAGACGCCATCAAAATCCTGCTTTAACAAATTTCATATCTCAATGTGGCTTTGCCGCCCGCAGCAAGGCTAGGCTAGCATCACACTTTAGAAAGCACAAATGATATATGTCTTTCCCTTACCTGATTTTCTCCACAATAGCCCCTGCTAGCATGCATAAATGTAAAACGGAAGGTACCATCCAATGCTGATCCCCCATTTATCGTTCACCATGGGAGAGCCCACCATATATATGTAATTGTGTATTTGGTCAGCAATACCACATTTATATAATTTTCTAAGTTTCATTAAAGACGGCTCACAAGATGCTGCAATTATGCTTTTTATTCAATTTTATTTTGTGATCGTATAAGTGATTTCTTTCCTGGACACAAAATGTGTAAAAATTGTGCGAATGTTCTGCATATCCGAGCACTTTCGCCTATTCTGTTAGCCATCTTCAAGGATTTTTTATTTATTTATTACTAGCCGAATTACCCGCGTTTTGCTGTGTGCCACACATTTTTTGTAGGAAAATAATGATTGATTTTAAATCATTGCAATTTGTGGAGAAAAATGATGCATTTCAATATTAATCAATAATCTTGCTGGTGTGACCTCCATCTTCTGGCTTTCTCCTTCTATATTTTGGATAGGAGTAATTCTCTTTGTGCAAAAACAGCGTGATCTGACCCCCTTTGATATGTATTTGATGCTTGATGCAATACTTGAATGAATTGATGAGCAGATTGCAACATTTATATGAACAGTTGAATTGTCGCAACAAATATGTATTGTAAGGCACTACCCAATGATTGGTGATTTCTTGCTCAACTTGACGTCTGTATTGTCTCTCATTTTGATCATGCCGATGTGATCTCAATCTTCTGACTTTCTCCTTCTATATTTTGGATAGGAGTCATTTTCTTGTTCAAATTTAAATTTAATTTAACTCAAAGGGAAAAAAAATCAGTGGGGGTGCTCCCGGGGACCTCCTTTGATCAAAATGAAATATACTTATCTCAGTACCCCGGGCAATGTAGTTTCAGAATATATATGTTTATAGGGGTCTATCTCCAAAACCCTAAGACGAGTTCGACAGACAGAGACTACTACTTTATATATATAGATTACTTTTTTTTAACTGAATGTAGAGATTTTGTCCATAAATTTTCTAGAGTGATGGGAATGTTTATTTATTTAACCATGGAGCAAGACTGGATGGTCGTCCAGCAACCACCTACATTGACACAGAATGCCACCCTCATGACCTTCTGACATTGACGAATGGCCGTGATGGTTGGCATGACAGACTTATGAATGTCAGAGCTAGCTCGACCGAATCCATAAATAACTTTGTGTTTCAAAGTCTTCGGTATAAAGTTAAAAGGAAAATTGAAAATTTTTCTCGTTGCAAAACTAACTGGATTGCTGTTTCATATCTGATTTAATAAGCTGTCCGCATTAAAAAATAAATACAAACTATAATATAAAATATTCTTGTAAAATTAATTCATCTGGTATGATGCTTGTAAAATCTATAACATCGTCAAATAAAAAAGTTTATGTGCATACTTAGAAACTAGTTGTAATTTGGAAATGACGTTTAATGTTAGGCGCAAAATCACTTTTGTCGTTTTTTTTCTTTTTTTTTTTTTGCGACAAGAATTTTAAAATTAAGTGCACAAATGAAATGTCTTAGGAGTAAGAATTGATATTTTATACACGTTGTTTTGAAACTAACTCTTATCTGACAAACCTTTAGTTAAGCACCTTTGACCTGCCATAGTTTTAACAACTGGGAGTTTGTAATGAAGTAAGTTGCGTCTATTTTTTCTTTTTAGTTTTAGTTTATAAATAGTAAGTTAGAATCAAGGGAAAAGAGGGGAATTGAAAGTGAGATGGACAAAGAATAAGTTTATAAAACGAAGGAGGCAAGGAGATGCAACACTGGGCAAAAAGCGAAAGGTGGAAAAAGAGAAAGAAATATTCAAAAAAGTAGAAGAGTGGGCGTTCCTGGTTAAAAAAAACAAAAAAAAACAAAAAAAAAACAAAAAAAAAACGAGTAACGACAACGGCGAGGAAGGAAGTGATCAGAGATAATGGTAGAGTTAGGATTTTGAAACTAGGCAAAAAGATAGATAGATAGTAGAGAGAGAGAGAGAGAGAGAGAGAGAGAGAGAGAGAGAGAGAAAAGAGGGGAGGGTAAATGATAAATCAATGCAGACAGGAACTGAAAGAGAGAGAAGATCGAGAAGAAAGATGGAGGAGTGAGCGAATAAAAAGAAAAAGGAAGAAATTACAACGTGAAAGAAAGAAAGTGTTTTTTTCGTTTTGTGGTTTTTCAAATCTAAACATTATGTCAAGGATACAGTGAATAAATAATGCTGTAGCTTTTCACCAATTCTGTAATATTTCCCACGTCCCAAGCAGTCAATATAACGTTTACGCTATTATATATATATATTTTTTTTTTTTTTTTTTGAGGATAAGGTTGGCCGTCTTAAATTTTTTATAATAGATAATGTTTGAATTTTTATTCGGATCAATAGGAGTAGTATATTTCTTTATAATATACCTTAGAGAAGATTCGTCTTGTTTGTAATTAATATGCATTTGGTTTTTGTAATAAATGTGTATATGATTTTTAGCTGTGTGTTCGCTATACGCAGAAAACTTAAAACCTCTTGATTTTCTACTTGTAGGAAATTCTTTTCCGTAATTCCAGTCTTTAAGAACTCAAGTAAACCGAATGATCCTTCTGAATATCAGTTTAAAGTCCTAAAGGCCTTGATAAAATCTGAATTGGTTAATCTCACATCGCAGCGTCTTCTTTCAGATTAGCAATACGACTTTTGCTTCTCTAGATTAACTGCTGATGTATAAGCGATTATTGTTGAAAGAGTCTACCAAGCTTCAACATCCTTATCTAAAGCTGTTGCTTTGCACATCTCGAAGGGATTGGCATACCGGTCTCCTTTACAAGTTGAAAGGTTATGTTATTTCTGGCCGAATTTTTTAACTGATTCAATCTTTCTTATCAGTTCGATAAGGTCAAATTGGCAGCTAATCTAAAAAATTACCCACGATCTGTTGTTAATTGGGTCAAGGAATGGCTTGTTAATTTTAACGCGTGCAATTGTCATAGTGTCTTGCTTGGGGTTAAATGATTACCCCCATATATATATATATATATATATATATATATATATATATATATATTATTTATTTAAAAATATGATTCCAAATCGCGACATAAGAAGTCTCATGTTTCAAAACAAGAGCCGAAAACTTCAATATAATTATTTGAATTAAATTGAGTTAAAATAAGCTCTGTTCCATCTTCAAGCGAAATTTTTAGGCATCATATCTTCATTCAAACATGTTTCATTGAATAATATAGACTTATTTTGTCTACTTATTTTTATACTGGCCCTTTTCATTGTATAATCAGATTCTTGATGTTAAGATAAAATTCATTAAGGGAGGCGCCGTAGTTTATATATATATATATATATATATATATATATATATATGGAGTAAAAACAAACAAACAAACAAACAAAAAACGGTTTTTTTTAGCACTACACATATTTTGAGGAAAGTGTTATCTGTTTGAGGTATTTGACAGAGAACTTAAAGTACCAAAGTGTATTCCAAAACTTAAGTGAAAAAAATATGATATATGAGGACATCAATAAATGTAGTTGTAATTGGAGCCCTCGATTTGAAGGTTCCGATAGACTAATTGAAGGGATCCATGGTAGGCCATATTGCCTTTCAAGTATACCTCACGCATTACGAAGAGTTTTATCTATGTAAAATGTGTTTGATCTTGGGATGTTTTTTTTTTTTTTTTTATCAGTGGAAGTTGTCATGAAGCAATTTCTGACTTTAGGCTTCTGTTTAGGACACGGAAGGAAATGTGTATACAACATAACTCAAAGGAAATAATAATAATAATAATAATAATAATAATAATAATAATAATAATAAATATTGTATCTTTGAACATCTTCGACAAACTATCAAATTAAAGGATCTTGAAATGGAAATCTGAAAAATGTGGCACGTGAGGACATCAATAATTCCAGTTGTAGTTGGAACCCGTAGATTGATTGGAAAAGATTTCGATAATCACATTGAAGGGATTCCTGGTAGCCTTTTCCTTAAAGAAATATAAAAAAATTGTACTTACACGTATAGCTCACACCTTACGAAGGGCTTTATTTATGTAAAATCTATGTGATCTTAGGTTTTCTTTTATATTTTTTTAAAATGTTCAGTGGAAAATGTCATGATGCCATTTCTGACCTTAGGTTTGTGGTTGGGACCCGGAAGGAAATGTGTATACAACAGAAATTAAAGGGAATAGTAATAATAATAATAATAATAATAATAATAATAATAATAATAATAATAATATTACACGATACACACTGACAGAACAATCAAGGCCAACCGGCCAGATATTGTTATTAAAGACCACAAACAAAAACGGTGCCTCCTTATAGATATGGTAGTACCTGCTGACTGCAATGTATCTTTGAAGATATTCAAAAAGCTGTCAAAAGTACAAGGACCTTGAAATAGAAGTCTCGAAAATGTGGCATATGGGAACATCAACAATCCCTGTTGTAGTTGGAGCCCTAGGACTGGTTGGAAAAGATTGCAGTAGACTAATTGAAGGGATTCCTGGAAGTCAATGCCTCAAGGAGATACAAAAAATTGTTCTGACAAGTACAGCCCACACCTTACGAAGGGCTTTATCTATGTAATTTAATTTTTTTTTTTTTTTTTGTCAGTGGAAAGTGTCATGACGCCATTTCTAACCTTAGGTCCCTGGGCGGGACCCGGAAAGAAATGTGTAAACGTCAGAAATCAAAGAAAATAAAAATGATAATAATAATAATCAATCACGGCTTCAGAGAAATACAACAAATTGTCTTACACACACACACTAAGAAGAACTTTGTCCATGTAACGCTAGTGATGTTATGTGAGTTGGAAAAATAAATGAAACGTAGACATAACAACGTATCACTACTTGCCTTTGGTCTTCCCTCAGACTTGGTAGGTAGTGTGACCATAGCAGAAATCGAAATTTAATAATAATAATAATAATAATAAACAAAGAAACTTGGCCAAATGAAATTACAAAAAACTGAGAGGACAAAACATTGCATGGCAAACACCTAAAAAGAATGAAAGAAGCAGATGTGAACCAACAGAAACCACATCTGTGACTGAGCAACACCAGGTTGAAAACTGAGACAGAAGGCCTAACTAATTATTGCAGCTTAGGACCAAAGCCTCGAAACCAGATCCTATCTTTGTCACATAATCAAGAACTAACAAATAATAGAACTAACCTGAAATGCAGGATCTGAGGAAAATATGATGAAACTGTCAACCATATTATCTCAGGATGTCCGGAACTAGCAATATATATATATATATATATATATATGTGTGTGTGTGTATATATATATATATATATATATATATATATATATATATATATTAAGAAATGGACAAAGTCCGACAATTTATTTATTAAAGACATTTTTATGTTTAACGTTCTTTTTATAGATACAAGTATTTAAGTATTTACATTTGATACGCCAGAGCAGTTATGAATGTACGAGATTCATGGAAGATTGAAGTTTATAAGCAGTAAATTCAACCTTGCCGAACGATCCTTTGTGGCCGAGCGGTCAAGGCACGTCAGCGTAAATGACGGTTCCGTATAGGATGCAGGTTCGAATCCTGTCTAAGGACGAATATTTTCTATGAAAATTTCTCTGACATTCAGGCCGGTAAATGTTATTTAATACTGTTTATCATAAACAGAGCATTTGCTTAAATACTTGTATCTATAAAATAACAACGTTAAACATAAAAATGTCTTTAATAAATAAATATATATATTTATATACCCACAGACATAACAAGGTAGCGACATATGCGCACTGGAAGATATGCAACAAGCACAAAATCGAAAGCGCTGAGTGATGTTATGAGCACCAACTAGACACAGTTACCCAAAACAACGATGTAACTATCCTCTGGGATATGCCAATTCAAACTGACAAGGAAATAAAAGCCAACAGAACTGATATTATCACAAAAGACAAGTGATTCAGGAAGTGTATCCTTATTGGCATAACAGTACCATCTGAGAGGAATACCTTCATGAAAATTCTCGAGAAATAATATCCAAATACAAGGACCTGGAGATCGGGATTAACAGGATGTAGGGAATGAAGACCGAGACTGTACCAATAATCAGAACTCGAGGTCTCGTGAGAAAAAAAAATGGACATTTTTACTAACAGTGTTGCCCAGAAGATCACCCTACGAGGAACATCCCATATACTTATAAGAAAAGAGATATCAATTAAATGACAATTCTCCTATCGGACCTAAGGACCATAGTTTGAATACGGCTCTACAGGATACAAAGCAGGAAACATAACGTTCAAATAATAATAATAATAAGTACATATTTTTAAATTGTAATTTTCAAGTTTTTTACGGACATCTTAAAAAAAAACTTGTAAAATTCGACAATGATTGAACCAATGAAACAATGTCTGTGATGCAAGAGTTTTTACAAATTAAATTCTCCAGTGATGCAGCCTACGATAACAGATTATTTCTTTTCTTACTTTTGTTTTTTTTTTTCGTAATTCATATTGTTTTGACATATTATTCAAGTCCTCACCTCAATTTTATTTCCCGACTTACAAAAAAATAAATAAATAAAAAAATAAATAAAATAAAAAATAAAAAATAAAAACAAACAAAGATCATACTATTTGCTTTCGACGCCAGCTTTTTATGCTCTGCTGGGTAAAATTGTTGGCATTTAAAACACGTCGTGGGTTTTGAAGACACTGGCGAGAAATTGTCTGTTTACGAATACGAATTTTTTGTTTGCTTTTTGTTTGTTCTTTTACATTTTCTTTCTTTTAAGACATGTTCTATACTACTTGTCAAAGACAAAACTACAAAAAAGTCCCCCTTTCAAAATGGAATTAATTTTTTCTTTTTTTTTTTTTGCATTTGCTATTGTTTACTTTCTAAAAGTCACTTTATAGATTTATCTCCGAGATTGCTGGATATATGTTTCTAAAAGATTCTAACGTCCATATTGTAGGCCTTTTTCATTTGATCGTTTTAATCTGCACAGAGAGGCGCAAACAGGATTTATTATCATCGGATACGAAC